TTGACAGAGGGTCAGGCTTTGGCCTGACTTTGGGACTTGAACCTATATGGGATACGATATGCATAGTAAAGACTAACCTTATTTATTCATATTGGATTCAATTTCAAGGGAAACTTCCCACCTATATAGCTGACATGAAACATCTGCAATATTTGAAACTGGATTTTAATCCAATTCAATTCCCGCCAAAGTCTATTCATTGTTTGCCAAAGGGGAATGAAAAGGAAGTGATGCTACCTTGGTTGGAAGGTTTAAAAGAATACCTGAGGCAACATGCCGGTAGGTTATCATTCACTCTGAACGCGAAATTTCCGAAATATTCAAAATCACCCATCATATTCTTTCATTATCACATAATTAGCCGGGAAGGATTCCATAGAAATGGAAGAAAGCGATAAAAGCAGGTTTGTCATCTTACTAGGTTGATTGGAAATTTTGGAATAATGGATGATTACTTACGAATTGCGTATAGTGGAGAGGAAGGAGTAGAAAAGGGTCACAGCCCGCGTGCCAAACCATTAAAGAAATCGGGATCGGTGGAAAGCATGAGCCATGGAACCACAAATCTGAACTTACGAGTGTCTCCTGAGAGTTCAAATCATCTGAACACCATTTCGGAGGATGGACACGTGGTTTCCAAACAGGAAACCAAACGACAAAATCTCAAATTAAATTTAGATTTGCCGGCTGCACGTCGTGACCGAAGTTATAGCAACGATTTTGACCCGATGTTAAACAATCACAAAGTATTTGTCAGACAACATTCGAAAAGTTTCTCGCAAGATTCCGTGAATTTACATGGCAACCAGAATGGAATTTCAGAGGAAAGAAGTAGTGATTTCTATTTTCAAAAGTTACTAACACTTCCCCCCACGGAACGTCTCCCCATGTATAATATTTCATTGAGAGAAGCCAGCCAAAATATATTATATGCATTTTCACAAATCCATAAATCTCTACGACAATTTGTGACATATACGGGAAATGAGAGGATCTTTACAACGGAGCTTAACAAAGCTAGCATTTTGATAGGACAATTGAGTGCCACACTTCAAAGATTTGATACTTATGCGTTAAAGGCGGCGCTCGACATAGATCACTGGGTTAAGTTGCTAACGGTCGTACAGGAGAACATTTCTTGCTTTAAAAATTTGATGGAATTATTGTACAAACGCCTCAAGCTATTGACTCAATATTCGGACAATATTCGTTACTCTCGCACGCTGCTCTTGATGCTTCACGGGGCAGTGGCAGACATCAAATTTGCGTGGGAACACATACATCCCTTATTGACAAATGACTATACTCCCTACACCGGAATGGCAGCAACTCCTTCGCGCGCACGAGCAATGTCACGTTCTAACAGTAACAGTAACATCAATGGTACTTCTTACTCTTCCGTCACACCCACTTCTTCACATTCAAATGGATCGTGTACTCCCTCTACTGCTGGAATGTCACCGTTCCCAACAGGACCATATAATCCTTATACGGACATTTCTTCTTCGACCCTTATATTCGAACAACTTTTAGCATTGGTCGAGAATTCCATTAAGGCAGTGGAAAATGTGATCAAATATTTTAGCGAACAATTGGATGGCGAGGGACCTCAACGACCTTCGTCACCTGTAAAAAACAAGATGAAAGATTTGAGGGCACATGTGAACACTGTATCAGAGGTGACAAAACGATTAAAGAAGCAAATACTTCACTCGAAATTTCAGGCTCAGAAAGATTTGAACATACAGCTTAAAATTTATAAGGATACCATCTTATTCCTTCAGGTATGTCGCGTTTGCGATGTGATTGACAGAGAATCACAATTAATCTTTTGCGTAAATTCTTAGATAACGATAAAGATGTCAACGATGGCCAAAGACCTCTCACACGATTGGCAATTGGACGGCAAAGTTATGACAGGGTTAGGTCATGTAACGAAGTGCAACATAGACCTAACAAATTTCTTACGTGGAATCGAAGGACCAGGTAGTGCGAGTCAACCACAATATTGGCCAACAATTCCCGGGCAACCAACTTCGAGTCCGGTTGTGGAACCCGATAATGAAGAAGAATTTAAAGACAGGGGATTCGATGAGCAGGATCATAACGATGTTAACGGAAAGAATGAAAAAATGGAGGAGGAGGAGGAATGTAATGGAGAATATGAATCTGTGACATATGAAGAACCCGAGGAATACGAGGTTGTCGGTGATTCAATACAAGGTGACGAGGTTGTTCAGAATGGTATAGTGAGCTTGTCGTGAAAAAATGTTGGATAAATTATGTAAATGTATTTTTTTTAAAAAAAAAAAAAATTATTATTATTTATATATTATTTACGGAGAATTAAGATTTTTATTTTCTATGTAAGCCGAAGAAAATAATTATATATATCTCCGTGTATATTCGTCTATCATGTGTGCCAGTTACAAATTGGAACGGCGCGAGCGACGAAACTTTCATGTACATGTATTATATTATACAGAATATATATATATACTTCTAAGAAATAGTTCAAGTCCGTGAGATATGGATAATTGCGTTCCCTTTACCTTCAAACATATTATAAATTTTGGAATCAGTGCGTTGGGAACTTGTGAAACTCGCTCCAATGCGAGAAATAAAATAAAAAAAAAACGTTTATTTTTGCATTATCCCAAGGTTATGTATGATTATAATAAATATTAATTGGCGAAATCTAATAATTCTTCAAAATTCCGTAATTTTTATAATACAATTCAACAAATAAAAATAGAAAAAGTATAGATATTTGAATGAAAAACGTGACCATTTACGGCATATCACGTAGATTGTGGTGAATAAAAAAACATTAGCAAGCTTACCAAATTGGTTAAACATATATTGCATTTACGTCATAATGTTTAAGTGCCTCAATGGCTTTGGGTTGATTCTTTAAAGCCGCTAATCTTAAATACTGCAATCCTTTCTTTTCATCCTTTTCAACACCTAATCTTCCCTTTAAATACATATCAGCCATGTTATATTGGGCGGTGGCGTTTCCATTGTCAGCAGCTTTGATCAGATATTTTATAAAATCCTGAAAATTCTCTTTTGATATGGCGAATGCATAACGAAGCTGCGCATCGGGAACACCAGCGTCCGCGGCTTCCTTAAATAACTTCTTGGCTTTCTCGGGATCCTTGGGCCCATTATGACCCTCCCACAAGTAATAACCCATCCAATACTTAGCCTTGGGATCACCAAGCTCTGCGTGAATTTCAAAACACTCCCAAGCCTTTTTACGTTCTGAACTTCGGTGCGCATTAATACCTTCTTCTAACGGAATTATAGGTTTCAAGGATTGTGGCAATGAGGTAAGGTATAGGTCCTCATTATGGTCCTCTATCACTGTGACCTTAATGTCTGGAATTGAGCTTGGAGGATCTGTGATGTTTGTTACAAGCTCGATTTCTGATGAATTTTTACCATGTAGGTCGATCAACATGGTAAAGTCATTGAACAAATCCTTAATTACTGGACGTAAGTGAGGATCGTGATTCCATGCTTTTTTAAAAAATAAAAGTCAGTTGGTAACGCGATTTTCACGTGAAAAAAAACCCCCCAGTTTCTGATAAGTTCACCTACATGCTACAATAATGTTACTAAACCCGCTTGTTATTTCTTGTGGACCATCCGGAAAATCCAAAGATTCCCTTTTCTTGGTCAGGACGTGTTCGGTGATCTCTGGCATTTCCATATCTTTATATGGGAATCTTTCAAAGGCTAGTTCCCAAAGAAGCATGCCAAAACTGTGATTTAATCAATTCAATCAATTTCATATCGATGATGAGCGACGAAACAACAAATTATCGCAGTGCCCATACCTAAATATTTCGCATTTAAATGTGTATGGCT